TTACTTGTCTGTATGTTAGAAATATCAAGTTCATATTTTCCTGTTTGTACTGGAAAAGTAGAAATGTAATAGGATTATGACATGACAAGGAAAAATGAATTGGTAGGGGAATAGATTTTTTCCTCAAACTTCAGAGTTTTTTTATTTTTATAGTAGTTAGAATCTGTCTAATTTCTGATAAAGGTTTGGGGGAGATTGTCTTATTATATAAAATGAAAGATCCAATTATTCTCCCTTCAGCAGAGGGATGAGAGTGTTTGTTTCTGTCCAGTTTTCAGAACTCTGAAAATGTCTCCACTGAAAACAAAGAACATTTTTTCACAGACCATACATTTCTGGGGTAAAACATATTGAGAAGAAAAAGACTCTGAAAATCTCCCCACCCGTCACTAACTTTCAGACCTTTTTATAATATAAAAAGCAAAGGAGGGCACAAATACATATATATCCTTCCATCCTTATTAGCAGTCAGTTTGTGTGAAAGGAAGAATTTTATTACAACTAAAAGGTTTACGTGTTTTTCAGTTAAACCAGAAAAATGCAAATATTTGTGGGATAATCTCATGGTAAAAGATATTAGTGGTTCAGAGGAAGAAATACGTTTCCTCAAACTGTAGTCAGGATTAGCCAATCAGGAAAACCAGAACTAGCGCTTTCTTTTGCATGTGAATTACGTTTCTTAAATTCTCCAAAATGGTCATAAACTTATTTTAAGAGGAACAAAGTTTGGTTCTGAAATAGTTCAGCATTCTCTTAAGATTTGGGCATCACTCAGTTATTTTAGATAATTATTTTAAACAGGAACTTCAAACATACAGCCTGTGGGGTTTCTCAAGGGGCCAGTAGTTTTGTGGGGGCGGTGAGTAATGTATTTGTTAATCTTTGACACTACATACAGACATTCAAAAAGCCCGAGCCTGAATCAGTTCAATTTTCACAGGTTAGTCTAATCTGCATAGATTGAACCAAGAAGCAAGTGAACAGACATTCCCTTTTGATTCCAGAAATACAGCCACATGCCTGTGGTGGCTCAGGCTAGAAGCCAGGGGGAGTGCTAGAATGATCCCCCCCACTTCCCTTCTTCAGTGGCTGGAAGGCTGGAGGGAAGCTGAGCTGAGGGAGAGGGTTGTGGCCAGGCCTTGGCAGGCTAAGTATGAGTGGGGAGGGATTTAAAACCTCACCCTAGCCTGCACAGTCCTCAGCCATGGTGTGCCTGGAGGGGGAGGGTAGCAGCAGCCCTTGCCAGGCATCACCAATCCCCCCACCTCTGCTCGCTGCAGGAGTGCTCAGGCTTCTACCTTCCTTGGATGGACACTACTGAATTTGCTTGGACTGAGAGACTTTATTGTACACAGCACTTGGAAATTTTGTTGGACACTGGACTTAGAAATTGGAGGCTGCTTGAACTTAGAGCTGTTGAGGATTGTGAAATCTGTTTCTGGGGTTTGGAGGCTCATTCACTTAAACTTGCCAAACTGGTTTTGCAAGGGAGGGAGCACAGGTAAAGTTGGAATTCAGGAGCTTTCCACCTTTTTGGATTGACTTCATATGGCAGGCTGGGTGAGAAAAGAGCTATCTGAACTAGAAAATTGGGTGATAAGAAAAACAGCTCTAGGTATCTGGAATAAGGATATAGTCTGTGGATCAGATGTGTTTGTACAATTTCGTGACCAGTGGTCCTCTCCGATTGTCTCTGGGCATAAACGCTGGGTGAATAAAAAGACAAAAGAAATGTTGTAGGAGGGTTACTATTGACATGTAAAGCTTTAACTAAAGAGATACAACAAAAGGAATCACTGTTAAAAGACAGTGAAAGAAAAATCCAAGAAGCTGCAGCACCATGCCCTCTCCCCCCTACCTGCCACTTGAGCAGTGACCTGGGATGGTGGGGCTGGGGATGCTTAGCAAGGGCTCCTGCCCCCCCTGCCAGTGGGAGAGGGGTTGGGGGAAGGGTGAATTAACGCCCCCCCTCCCCTTAGGCTACCAGAACTCGGGAACAGGGTTTCCCACCCCCACCCCCTTCTCAACCAGTCGGAGCCCTGATAGTGCTCCGACTACGGAGGAGATTGCGGAGTGGGGAGGGCAAACCTGCTCTGCTGGAACAGACAGCACAGGCAAAGCAAAGCATTCTGGGATGCTGGGGGATTGTGAGTTAACTTAAACCAGGAGGGGGTCTGGGACAGAAGTTCTGTAAACTGGTTTGACCTAAATCAGTGAAGTCTGATACTGCTTTCAGCCAGGTTTATCTTAAACTAGTTTTGGCCATTTTTAAAGCAGTTTATGTGCGTTGAACTTCTGGTCTGTTACAGGTTTAAACTGGTTTCTGATCACTTAAACTGATTTATGCATAACTTTTGTCCTTAGCCTGTGGCCCCCTGACACCCATTGCCTTATTCTACCACTAACAGTGGATCCAGATATGAGCTGTAAGGAACCCTGTGGTTCAGAAGCAGCCCAGCAGGTCCTAACAAGTTTGACACTCCTGATTTAATGGATATGTCAAAAATAGTAGATAAGAAATGTTGTTTAACTTTGCTTAACAAGTATCCTCTCTCAGAAAGGTTTTTGTTGTTTGCAAACACTTGCAGCAAACTGCCTTAGCACATTATAGATTTATTCATTGAAAATCCTCTTATTATATTAACAGCTTGATCTTTTCACTTTCTTAATTCTTTGTATAGAGCCTGGTGTATTCAGATGTTGGTTCTAGTTCTGAGCAACAGAGTACCTTCCCTGTTGGGGAATTACATGAAAACTGTATTACTTCAGCTTCTCTAATGTTAGTAGTGAAAGACATTGCTAGAGAGTAGGTCTGTGAGAAGCAGCTAGCATTCGTTTCGGATTCAGCCAATTCGGGGGACAGCGATTCAATTCAGTCATTTGAATCACTGTTCTGAGTCAATTCAGCCAAATCTGATTTGGAGAGGGGTCGGGGGGGGGGGTTGGGAGGCTGGCAAGGGTCCCTCCATGGTCCCCTCCTGCAGCCCCCACTTCCCTGCCCCTACTTACCAGCTCAGAGTCGGCTGCAGCCACTGGGGACTGCCCAAATCATTGATGCTCTCTGAATCTTTTCTGAAGATTTGGACAGCTGTGAATCGATTCGGACCTTTTAACTGGTTCCCTGATTCGATTCGAGTTTGGCCACCGAATCGGGCCAAATCTTCTCTGAATCAAATCAATACCCAAAGCTTCGTACAGCCCTACTAGAGAGAAATAAAAAGCATATTTTATTTTTTATTTGAAAAGGTATTGTTTCAAGCTATTTATCAGGTTAAAAACTGGGAGAGAGTTAATATTTCATTGTAGAGCACAGATATTTTCAGACACCATAAAACTGTACAACTTTATCTAGATTTTGTATATGTCACTTATGATTCAAGGCATATGTGGCCTAAAAATGTAAATTGGCTTTATATAAATATAAATATATTGTACATTGAAACATTGGGTTGTACACTTGTCAGATAATGTGTTTGCCATGTTCAAGGAATAGTTTTTATTAAATATTTTGAAGAGAAAATTATTTTTAAAACTGACCTACTACTGAGGAATACTGTGCGTTTATGCTGAATGTTGTTGAAAAACTGCCAGTGTTGCATTTCAGTATGTACATGTGTTACTGTGATCTGAGGCAAATTAAGTTCTGCTAAACATTGAAATGGACTTTTCTGTGAATTAGTTGGATAGATGCTTTCTCTCACTCTTCACTTCGAAGCCTTTAAGGCGCAAATGTTTATAAACTTGCTATACATGCTTCATTCTAACTGTATAACTGGGCATGTGAACATAATACCATATTTACTTGAATCTAAAGGCATCTTTACATGTGCTCTGGGGTGAGGTGGAGGGGTTTAATTACAGCGGCTCTCAGGAGGTACTCTAATTAAAATGTCCGCAGTGTCTCATGTATTCAGCATCCCACACTTCAAAATGGTGGCAGGGGCGCCTAAACTAAAACTCGTTCAACAGTCCCAGGGGGCAGCACCCGGCTTCTCTCATCTGGCAGGCAGATCAGGGGCTCACACCCCCGGGAGGACTTGCAGCCCTAGCAGCCCTCCTTGCAGGAGAGCCCCCAATCTGCCTGCCTGCTGCATTTTATGTTTCCCCTTTATAACCTATGGGCAAAACATAGAAACGGCAGAACAGTTTTGATGAAACGAAACAGAACAGTGGTTTTGAAACGAAACTCGAAACGAAACACTGTTCTGTCAAATCGTCAAAACAGAAGTTGAATCGGAACAATGCTGTTTCACACAGGCCTAAAAGAAACCTCATCTTAGCTTTGAGTAATTGCTGTATTACAGCATGATATTTGGGACTGAGCAATACATGTA